GTGAGGAAGGAGAACCAGAGTTGCTTGCCTCGGCCAAGGTCCCAACCTCCTTGCCTTCAGCCACAAGCCCTTTTGCAGACTGCTGCTCTAATCGACACCCTGTCACAGGGACAGGCATCCCTCACGGTAAAAAGGGACCAGGCTGGGGCTGGAGTCTGGCCCACTGCCATCACACAATGCCCTCCCAGTCCCCTTCCAGTGCCCGCAGGTCTGTGGCTGAATTATAGGGAATATAATCCAGTCTGCTGCTTCTGAACTTCAGCTCCTCCATGGCCCTCACAAGAACAGCAGCAACAGAGTAAGGCATTGAAATCACATTTGTTTTAAGTAAATGGAACAGGTGTAACGGATTCCATATCCACATTCCAAATGAATTGTGGATTTAACTTGAAAGCATGCAAAAAAACATAATCATACTGCTGAATTGAGATTGGTGAGTAGATTAACTGGCCCCATGGAGTCAATGGGACTTTCACCGCTGACTTCACTGGGGTCAGGGTTTGACTCCAGTTGAAAAGAGAAGCCTCTTCTGTAAATCAGATGATCCCTTACGGAATCTGAACTAATACTAAAGGAATTCTGAAAGGTAAACAGGAATTCAGCTCCTGGTGAACTTGCAGTTTCAAATAACATTAAAGAAAGGGGTGACAAAGGAAACTGAAAATACACCACCACCCTATTACACAACTGGTCTTTAAGAAAATTAATATAATGTGGAGACTGTAACATGTTCCCAGAAAAGAAAAGCACCAGTAAGTCTCATCCTCAAGTGGCTGCCTTGTAAGTAAAACAGACTTCTGCTTAGGGATATTCAGGTTCATAAGAATTACAGATGATTCCACTGCCTACCAAGTTCTTCCCCCCCCCCAATGACAAAAGTTAATAATGTATGGAATTACACTAATTGGAATGAATGCATTAGCATAAAGAATCAAAAACATGCTCTACGCAGAGGCAAAAATTCATATGGTTCCTGCTTTGCTATGGCATGGGGAAATCTTTAACATGATGTGTTAAGTTCCTGAAAAATACAAGCACACTTTTTTTCTGGATGCTAGCTTTCTTGCAGATTTTGAGATAAGATGCTGAAGCAAATGCCATCCTGTATATCACAGTGATCTCATCTTCTAGTATGAACAATTAGGGTTGCAATATCAACTCTTCACATAGTGAGGAGTTGGTGAAAAAAAAATGGTAGCAACCCATAATTGCCTGTGCTGGGAAAGAATAACTGTGCACTCTGCAACCCATTCATTGCAATATCCACCTCAAATGACTTGCCATAAAAATGGTGCAGGTACCACTGGATTGCCTATTGCTTTCAGCAAATTGGAAATACGCCATGTAGCAAAGTTTTGGTTGATTTGCTGGTTCATATGAGGTCGTGAAAACAGGTTAAGTTGTCCAGCTATGATACAGCAGGCCAGCCAGGAGCTGCTGCTATCAGGGTAGCAGTGAAAGATGAGGAAAATGCAGAAATTGCTCTGATAGGAAAGGTTCAATTCCATGAGGTGAGAGCAACACCAGTTCTGCTGGTATGTCAATAGGGCAGGCAGCTCCTGGATGGCCCAAGAGTTTGCATTGCCTCTCCAGTTTCTGCATGGTGAAGGGCAACATAGAGGAAGAGCTAGTGCTCCTGTTAAGTACAGACAAATTGCTCACAGCTTGGAATAACTGGATGCACATAGTCATTCCGGATTTTCAAATTAGGCTGTCTGTGGTGTTCTGAGCAGCATTAGCAGATACACAGTAAGCATAATTACATCTACATTTTGAAGAGGGAAAAATGCACAGCGGTTTAAGTCTTTCATTGATCCTGCTACTTATTGTGATGCCTCTTTGGAAAACTGTAGCCTACAGAGTTGTATCTTGTCCACCACTCCCAAGATATACGTATTTCACACTGCAAGCTTTCCTGAAAACAAGTTTTCCCCTCTTAAGGATAAGAAAACAACAAAAAAAATTAAAATTAAAAGTTGAAAGACCATAAATTGTTTTCCTATGAAATTTTCAGGCTAAAGTAATACTATTATTTAAAATTCCTGATTTAAACAAGTAAGTGCTTGTAACCCTCAAATGAAAACTAAATACAATAAATACTTTCTCCAAATATTTCTGTTTTGCTAAAGTCAATTAAAGGAAACATTCAACCATTTTGACTTAGCTTATATCCCTCTCCCTCAAGGCACGGCTGCAGACAGAAGAGGAATTGTTCCAAATACCCATCAATCCCCAGAAGGCAAGGCCCAGCCATATAATTAGACAGCGAGCAAAACGCTTCTTCCTTGTTCCTTTCTATTTACAATATCTTTTACATAAATCCTTGGGTCCTTACTTAACATCTATTGTAAAGAAAATGCTTGACATTTTGCCCAGGTAACTACTGAGCAACACTGAATTAGGACTTCAGGCTGTGACACACATATGCAACTGTCACATCCATAAATATTAATAAAAGGTTATTGCTTGAAACAGAGATAGAAAAGCACCTTTCAGCATAAGCCCCAAACCATAGATCATCGAGTTCTCTCCATCTGATTGAGGACTTCTGTCTAAATAAAGCTGAACGACAACCTCTGACTTGCTAACTGAGTTTTAGAGAAGAAATGGCAAAGGGTAGGAAAAGCCCTTTTCAAGATGTAGCATAAGAAAACTGCTAAAGGCTGTTCTAAATAAAGAACGCGAGCCTTTCCTAAAGCCATCATTATTAAACTGCCATGCTCCCAAGCGGAAAAAAAAACAAACAAACAACACACATTATTTTTGTTCTGCCATAGTCATCAACATTCTCAGAAGTCCCCCTCACCACTCATGTCATTTTGCACCCAGGGGATGTAAGAAAGCTCATTTCTTGGTAACTTGGAGCCAAGAGCTCAGCTCTCTCTGGATCCTTTGGCTGGAAACTGCCCAGCATTCCCACAGACGGCCAGGGTTTGCCTTCCCTTTTCACTCCAGCTGCCTGCCAGCCTGAGGTAAAAGCAAAAACCAAATATTGCAAAGCAGGACATGAGTGATCTGAGCAAAGTATGAGATCCATGGACTCTGACACAGACTTACTCCAGAGAAATAATCTCATCCTTCTGCCTCAGTTTTCCTGCCTGAAAAAAAGCAGCAACTATCAATTACCTACTTTGTAGGTCATATATTTGCAAAGCCCTCAGGGAGATGAAAAGCATTATACAAACTATATGCACACATGTTAACGCTGATTAATTTTCTCTGCGCAAACATATCCTTTTTTCTTCTTCATTGCCCCTCCTCTCATTATATCAGCAGTCTCATCTGGAGGACAACAAGGAACTGCTGACAGCTGAAGTATTTTCCACAGTTGTTCTTTTGAGATTCAGAAATGCAACCACTCAACACAGCCCTGTGTTCAGTTGACTGTTTCCTTAATAGCTTTGCGCTTTCATGTGTTTCCTCATTTTCTGTTACATGAATTTAAAGCAATCTGATTTCCAAGTTAATTCAACATGATGCAAGATCCATTAGTTGAGGGTATCATTTGCAAAATAACTCCAAGGGACAACTTTCACTCACTATACTTTCAGGTATACTCTCAACAAACAAAATCAGGGCTAGTGATGTGCATAAAGTCAGCAGGATTTGACCCAAAAAGCATGTTAGCAGAGCACAGAGATATAGCCTAACTGCATAAGAAACCTGTAATAAAAGCAACAGCTCCTCCATAGCCTGAGTTTTATACCAATGAGCAGGCCTTTTGTGATAGTGCTTATAGAAATGATGATCAGAATATGCATACAGCTTTGCAGAAGACCACCTGTAAGTGTTTTTCTTAGGATTTTTGGATCTGCATTTTCTGAGGAATAGAATTTAAGCATTTTGTGGAATAAAACCGCTGTTTCAGTTACCACAGAATAATCCAGAGTGAAATTAAGGACTTGTGCTTTGTCAACAGCTCCACAATGGCAGTTCTCATTAGAGGTAATAGATTTTGACCCTCTGCATCCAAGGGTAGAATTGGGCTTTCTGACTTGCAGTGTCCAAGAACGACCATTTATGCTCATGGCTGGAACAAACTGCACTGGCATAGGTTGCCCAGAGAGGTTGTGGTGTCTCCCTCCTTGGAGATATTCAAAAACGGTCTGTACCTGCTCCCAGGCAAGTGGCTGTAGGTGGCCCTGCTTGAGCAGGGGGTTTGGACCAGATAACTTCCAGAGGTCATTTCCAACCTCAATCCTGTCATTCTGTGAAATGTGCAATGGTCTGGTGCATCTTGGATGAATGACCTCTGACTGCCACTGCAGCCTCTACTCTGGATCCTGTGGAGGTGTCAGAAGTAACACCTCAAAGTTGTTCTGGAGTAAATGCAATTGGAAGCACCCAGACTACTGAAATGACAACTGTTAGAGGCTGGAAGCTGAGGGACATGCCAGGGCAGAGGCTGAGGGATGGAGAAGTGGCTGGATTTTCCTCATCCTCTTCAACAACTGTAAATCCTCCACTCTTAGATGTGTATGCAGTCAATAGCTTACAGGCAGGAGGTCATGTACATATTCCACAACTGAAGCCAGCTGTCTTTTAAGACAGCAATAGTCACCTTTGTTTTTACTGACCACCTAATGCAGTGGGAAAGCTGAACAACCATAATAAAAATATGACAGGTTAACTTTTCAGCTGCTGTCCTTAAGGTAAAGACATTGAACAATTTAAGTTGATAATGTTACCAAGAAAAACAGTCTTGGAGGACAATCCTCAAGAAACATCACTTCATCTCTGTATTGAGCTGTTTCAAGCACACACACACATAAAAAAAAAAAAAAAATAAAGGGATTTTGGTTAGCTTTGCTCCTGCCAAGCAATCTGCTCTCAAACAACTATAAAACCTTTCATGCTATCATGCCAAAACTCAAAGGCAGAGAACACACTGACTAGAAATATAATGTTTGAAGTATTGTAAAAGGGAAGAAGCAATCAGGCCTGCTTTTAGAAAATGGGATGGTGGTCTCATTAGAAAGGAATTCAATTGCAATAGTTACCTCGGCATGTAAAGGACTCGCTCTGCCACCACAAATCCCACCCTGAAGAAGAGGTTGCTGGCTGGGATGAATGGGAAAATCAGGAACAACAAGCCAACCAAAACTTCTTTGTGTTCCAGTTTCTGCAATAACACAAAATTAAACAAATATCAACTAAAAAAATCCAACTTAATTCACCACTAACTTTCCCCTTTCCTTTTGAGATTCTTATTGATTAAAAAAAGCAACTTAGGTTAATGTTTGATATGTTTTGCATTTAAAAGAAATTACTCCAAGACACTGTTCTTCCATATTTACACATCGCTTGTGCTTCTAATATGCCAAGAAAGTGCACAAACACTAACCATGGTGTGTATTATTACCTTTGGTATCTTTTCTAACATCAGCTCTACTGTATGCAGCTCACTTGAGATGGCATAGATAGTACTTAAGATATACCCCATATTGGTAATACATAAGTATAGAATAGTGTGAATGTATACATTAGCATGTCTACCACAGTGTGGCTGTATGTAAATACACAAACATATCACATACACACAGACTGCTGTGTTCAATCCTAAATGTTTATAACTGAGAAAAAGCTGTTCAATCTGTCACATTTTGTGTAAAGAAAACTAGCCCCAAATGGCACATTAATGCAGTCACTTTGTCTCTTTCGACACAATATCTAAATTTGAAATTATATTTTTGCACACGAGGCCTCCATAATCAGAGTTGGAAATTCAAGACATACTGTATGTTAAAACTAATGTCTTTCAGTTGAGCTCAGTTAATGCCCTTCACTTGAGCTCACTTTAATGTTGGCTCACTCTTTGCCACATGCAATTCAAAACAACTGTGATCTGCACTGCTGACCCAAGCATCTCAGGACGCCATGATCAGCAGCAGCTGCCATTCCTGCCACGGAGAGACCCAAGTCTCCTCAGGCAAGTTGAGTTTCAGATTTAGCTCCACTCCAAGAGGGTCAATCAGCTGGTGATTTCTGTTGATGATCTCAGAGAACGACATCAGGCTAACAGAAGCATAGCATTAAGTCTGTTAAATCACTCAAGCAGACATCTGTGCTTTCCTACCCTACGATACCGCTGCCTTATCAGCCGCTGCAGCATCCTTCTGCAGCCATTGGGAGAAGTTTTGTCACACTTAGAAAGAGATGCAACCAGAATCACTTAATGGTTGCAGCACTTTCTAATTGTTGTGGGCAATTTCTCAACTTTCAAGAGCAAATTGACTTCTTTTTACTGGAGGGATCTAAATTTAGAAACATTGAACAAGATTTTTGAGTAGAGGAACGGAGCTCGATCAATGATGCAGGCCAAGCAATCCAACTTGTCTTGCTTTTGCACAGCTACAGAGTGCAGCATCAGTTACCACTGGCCTAGTCAGTGGCTGAAATTCAGAAGTCTGAGAATTAAAATATATTCATCCTATTCTGTGGGAAAGACAATGAACAATTTCTATAGGTACCAAACGCACAAGTACATGTCAGGAGGCTCTGGTGTTGCTTTAGAGGAGCTGAACCACAGGATCACAAAAAAGTGCACTGGCTTCCCCTGGCTGAAAGAGCAAACACAAAGCAGAGAGGGGAGCAGAATTCACAGCTTCAGACTCCTTTATCAACATCTGCTTTAAACAGCACCACAGTTACCTGCTTCTATTATTCACTTTTTTAGCATCTTGGAATCACAGTTACTAGTGCCTTCTTGCAGTCACAACAGCACCTAAAATGCATTATTCCCAGAGCTGAAGCTGACACCAATCCATAAAGCTGATGAGCAGAGGTGCCCAGTAATGGTCAGTAATTTTGGCTTGTAATTACAATAGAAAATTGAAATTGAGAAGGAAAAAAAAAAAGGATTAAAAATGATTCTCAACTCTGAATGCAAATTATCAGTCCTAGCTCAGCTCCAACTTCCCGCCCACCCAGCTCTGGCCATATACTCCATTTCTCTCCTGCCATTTGACACTCCCTTCCCACCTTCCCATCACCCAAATAATCTAAAATAAAATTACTGTACAGCTGGAGAAATAGGTATTGTAATCTTATTTACTGACTCTTTGTTACTACTGTTGTTCCATTATAAGCAGGGATTATGGTGCCCATTTGCTGCCACCACTCTACCCCAGGGGTTTAACAACCAAGACCCAGAGGCACAAGAAGGTATGCTGGGCCAAAGGCAACGCACTCCTAATGCATAAAATGTTCTTTGTCCCCAAGATACACTCTTGCTTTGAAATGAACCGGCTATCAAATATTTCTCCCCTTGTTGTTCGTTAAATCAATAATTGGGAAAGCAATCTCTAGGTAACATTGCTAGGAAGGGCACAGTGTTATTCAAGGCTGCAGCATTGCAGATAAGCAAAGGAAACTGAATGCTGGAGAAAGACAAATAAAACCTGTACATCATATGGGAGCGAGGAAAATGTGGGAATTAGCTCGGCTGAAGGAGAAAATGGTATCGTGTGCCCTTTTTCCCTCCACAACAAGTCACAGCTCTAGACTAATGCCATTAAGGGCTGCCAGCTCAGTCCCTTGGGCAGGGCACAGAGACGGGAGCCCAGCACTCACAAACCAGCCTCACAGAGCAGCAGAGCCCTCCGTGCTGCTACTTATTTCTGAAACAAGAAACATCTGGCAGCACCCTTTTTAAAGCATTCGATTCAGGCAGAGGCTTTTATAAAGAGCTGGTCCTTGAACACCAGGCTTTGGCTGATTTTGTGCTATGCATGGTCCTGCCTGTGAGACAGCAGGTCAAACTGCTGAATTTGTGCTGCGGTCACTCCAGAGCTCAGTTTGGGTTTCTCTCCTCTACCCAGCCATTAACTCTTCCAAAATTTGTATGGGCATTTCAATTTGACACCTTGGCACTATGACTGGGTCCTGCCCAGGAGGAGAGCTTGGGGAGAACACCTGGGCAGGAAGAGCAGGTGGGGTTGCTGGTCACCTGAAACTCATCTGTGGCCATTAACGAGACAGTCTGGACATGGCTTCTGGCACAAGCAATTCCTAAATCACTCGCAGCCCATAGTTCGGAATTTATACTGGAGGAAAAAATTACCCTATTCACAGCCAGATCTTATTTCTCACTTCCCTAAATAATTTCTACTGACTGATTACTGAGCAAAACTAGCCTCTGCTCTGACCCAAGAGCTGCACATCCTTCTATCCCAGCCTTGCGAGGGCTGGAGGCACAGCAGAGCTATCCGTCCCTGCCTTCCCACCAAGGGCTCACATATGCTCACCTGGGCAGCTCAGAAAAAAACCAAAAAAAGGACAGAAACGCAATCATGATGTGCTGAAAGGATTGTGTGTACCATAGGTGATAACCTTAGACAGCTAAAAGCCAACAGTACAAGTGTCATAAGACACCATATTCTCCTTTATCTTTTTCCCTATCAAATTTTACACAGCAGATTCACCTTTTATTCCCCCTTCCCCTGGAGGGGCTGACAGATTTATAAATGAGTAGACAAGTAGGACAGAATGGCACAAGAACATCAGGGACTGGTACTGTAGGGCTGCAGAAACAGAAGGCAGCGGCATCTTCCATCCAACACAAGCCATAGGAGATTAAATTCAAAAACCAACCTGTAGCTTGTTACGTTTTTCAGGAAAAAAAAAATATTGGGACCATTTATTTGGTTTAACTACTCTGGTCCTATGAGCCCACTTAAGAGATAGCTGAGCTAAAGCTGGCAGAACCAGCATCTTCTGGGTACCCAGTGCAGTAGTAAAAGCTTTTAAAGAGTAGTAGGCAATTTTGTTTGTCTCTCTTTTTCCTTAAAATAAAAAAGCTAGGACTAGAAATTACAGATCACTTCATTCCTTTTACAAAGAGACATCTCCTTGTCTGTTAAAGATAGTGCTTTCTTTTGGAAATATAAAACTTATCTTCCTACCTGTCACAGAGGTCTTGGGGGGGGGGGGCGGCAGGGGGAACCAGCTTTGAATTAACCTTAGAATGATTCCTTTTGTTAAAGACAAGCCGACTTCAAATCAGAATAGCATTCCTGATAGCAGATAGGTTGGTGAGGGTTTTCAAATTCACATCTACCTCTCACTACAATTAGGCCTTCATTATATTGTAACAAAAGAAAAAAAAAAAAACCCACACCACACAAACAAAATAAACCAACAAACCAAACCAAAAACCAATAAAAAAGAATTTTTTTAACTTGCTACTTTTCATAGACTTATCAAAGAACTAAGCAACACCACCTCCTCTCCCAAGGGCAAGGCAAAAAATTGTCACACTATCTCAAACAAAATAGCAAAGAATCACTCCAAGGTCAAAACCATTAACACAGCAATAAATTTCAAAAATTGCTTCCTTGGCAATTTGGGGGAAAAGGAAGAAAGTCTTGAGTTTACAACTGAAAGAGATCTTCCTATATTATATAGAAGACATATTCCTGAGCCACAAATAAGTATTTGCTGACTACTGTTAAATCACAAGCTAGAGCCCACAAAGTACGAGCTCAGGAGATATGCAGATTACTTCGACAGATCTGTCATAAACTACAGACTTGCATAAGCCCACTGTAAATTTCCTATTTTTCCCATTGATACAGCATCGTCTGAGGTGCCAGATCCATTAAGTCTCACACTGTGATGGCAGGACTTCTGTTCACATCCCCTGGCACCTCCAAGGGCTGAGGAGCTGGAAAGGGAAGCCGTGAGGACAACCTTCCCTCCTGGCTGGACAAAGTTGTACCTCGGGGAAGACAGCAGCTGGGCAAAAAAGTCCAAGCAAACTCCGTTCTTTTCTTCCTTGGAATGTTTCCGAAGGTGTTTATACATGCTTGCCTGTTTGATGGGAAGGTGGCAATCAAATGAGTTTAATTTCTTCCTCCAAGATTTTATTTTGAGAATGAGGCAAGTGTTACCTCTCCACCATTTAGAAGCAACAGCTCCATTGAGTAAAGACTTCCTTCCTACCAAAGGCATGAATCACCCTCTGCCAGCGAGCTCTGGATGGTCCATTGCAGCCAGTGAAATGTTATGTTTGGAACATCTGACTGCAAGCACAGAAAAGTTGGTATCCAGGAAAGTTGGTAGTGCATGGCTGTATAAAAGTAATGATTGCTATTTCACATTTTTAAATGCTTGCAGGCCTCG